ACAAATACAGTGTTTTCTAGGATACAAATACAGTGTTTTCTAGGATACAAATACAGTGTTTTCTAGGATACAAATACAGTGCTTTCTAGGATTCAAATACAGTGTTTTCTAGGATGCAAATATGATGTTTTCTAGGATACAAATTTAGTATTTTTTAGGACACAGATACAATGTTTTCTAGGATACAAATTTTGTGTTTTTTAGGAAACAAATTCGTGTTTGCAAGTATACGAATACGGTGTTTTCTAGGATAAAAATATTTAATTCAGTTTTTGCGAATAATTATTTGTTACCTTGCTTGCAAAAAGAAGTTTGACCCCAGCCTAAATACAAGTTATGATAAATATGATACTTCTACAACAAGTATATGTTTAAAAACTATCTGAAGTAGGAACTGTTGAGTAGAGCTAGAACATTGTTAATCTTGAACGCTTAATCTCGATACCCCATGTGGGAACTTTTAGATTTGAGAATAAATGCCGTAATCATCAATTCAAGTTATCCCTGCAGAGTATGACCACCACAGGATATCCCTTCTGAGTATGACCACCACAGGATATCCTTGAAGAGTATAACTTCCACAGGATATCCTTGCAGAGTATGACTACCACAGGATATCCTTGCAGAGTATGACCACCACAGGATATCCCTGCAGACTATGACCACCACAGGATATCTATGCAGAGTATGACTACCACGGTGGATAAAATGGAGATCAATTCTTAATCCCTAGATTCCAAATTTAAACATTTTTACTTCAGTTTTATTCTCTGATTCTGATTTTGGATAACTTTTTTATCAATTTGTACAGTGGTAGGCGATTATATTAATACAATGAGGACGACTTTCGATTTCAATTTTGATTTAAATCCAGCTGTTAAACAGGATGGATACACATAAACATTTAAGTCAAGATAAGCTGTCAGTTCAAAAAGCTTCTCTTTGATTACTTGTAAACTTGCAATTTGAAAAAAGCTTGTTAGCAATCAAAACTTTAATAAAAGTCGTCTGCATTTTGTGTTTATAAAATCACCTACCACTGTACTTTTTTAAGGATCGTTCAGAAATTCAAAAAAAATTTTACTTTCGTAGAAGCTTAGCCCAGTGGGGGCTGTTGTTACCCCCCCCCCTCCCCCTGGTCGGAATTATCTTATGATTAAATAATTATTAAAATATTAAAATAAAAACTAACCTTTCCATACTCCTTATCAACAATAACATATTCCATCTTTGTCTAAAATATAAAAAAAGTCTGAAATATTACAAAAACATACAAAATTAAGTGTTTAAGGAGAAAATATTTGAAAACCTCCAAAAATAGAGGTTTGATACAAACTAGTGGTGGATTGTTAGTATTTTTCGACGATGAACTAACAAATTTTAAAAATAAAAATGATAGATTTTTTTGTAATGTTTCAAAAAACAAAATAGACCTTATGGATTGTGGCATACGTATACGAAAAACGGACATTTTTAAGCATCTTTTTAATTTACGCTGATTTTTGACATTCTTTATGTTTGATTATATCTTTTACTCTTTTTAATCTTTTTAGATAAAAAACCTGAAATTATGCACTTGTAACAAAAGCTCTATACGCTCTGTAAATACTTCTAGATTCTCTTTTGGAATTTTCCAATGTTAAAAGATTACATGGTTTAAGGATTAACAATACATTTAATTTTGGCTTATATATATATTTATATTTATAATATATGTATATTAACTAGACTTTTAGGGCGCTTCGCGCCCATCTTCCATTTTCTCGCGCGTTGTATAAATAAATTATAAAACAAAAACAAAAAAGTTCGCGGATTTCATAAAAAAATTTATAGATTTGAAAATTTATGTAAATCAAATTTTGTTGGAGCCAAATTTTTGAAATTTTGATCATATTCATAAACCTTCCAGCTGTGCCGGGGTCATGTGGGGTATCACAACAAATTTGGGCCGGATCGGTTCAGCCGTTTGACGTTTATCGGATACAAGCAAACAGACAAACAAAGAGACAAAAAGACAAGCAAAGTTTTTTGTAGGCAAAATTGAAAATATCTATTTGATTTCCAGCTTTATAACTTGGAAATTAAACATGGTTTACCTCGCAGAAGAAATGTACGTGATTTTCAAGAAGTATATTTCCTATAGAAAACAAACCTGTATTTCTAGCGTGGTTTATCTAAATTTCAATCTTCAGACTGGATTTAATAGCTTTTGTAAGATGTACTATAATACTATATATATATACTCCGTGTATATATTACGCAATAAGATAATGCTTGTTGCGTATTTTTCACGCCATAGTTTCATTTTTATTTTGTTTTTATTAACCCTAAACCGAGGAATTTCATGAAAGAATAATTTTGATGATAAATACAAAAATTGAGGTTGGCAAATAAACACAAATGAAAAATGAGGCACTCTACGACAGTCTACATGTCCCTAATATTGGCGAGTAATATTTAACAACATTTTCTGTAAATTAGGGCTCACTCTTCCGGACATGCACTTATTTGTAGTTTTAACGCATATTGAGGAGAAAGGATAATTAAAAACATTAAGAACGTTCTAGTTCGCACACTCAGGACGCATGAATATGACAAACATTTTGGACGCACAATAAGGACAAGCATTTTGGACGCACAATATGGACAAGCATTATGGACGCACAATATGGACAAGCATTATGGACGCACAATAAGGACAAGCATTATGGACGCACAATAAGGACAAGCATTATGGACGCACAATAAGGACAAGCATTTTGGACGCACATTAAGAATATCCTTTTATGATCGAAAGACACTTTTAACCCTATCTCCGCTGGTCTATTTTTTTCTAATAAAGGCAAGGGGGGGATGTTTTCCACCCCCCCCCCCTATGATTTTGCCCTAAGAGTTGAGATAGGGAAGTGTGATACATGTCCTTAGTCAAACTTTTCATTAAATAAATTAGACCTCTTACTTTGTTGATTCGGGTGCAACGGAGGACTTAAAAGAAAGTTCAAAAAGTACGTGGGAAAACGTGGGAAAAATGTTCAAAGATAATTATTCTTTATTTTGTCAAATATTAACATGTGACACATATTCTTACATCGATTTTCCGAGGGCATTTAAAATATATAAATTTTAGCACTGTAGCTTAATTAATAAAAGTTTAAGCGTCCTAATGAAAGCTGTTTAAAAGTTAATTAGAAAAAAAGAAAAGAGGAGGTGTCGCAAAACACCCCCCCCCCGCCGTAATAGGGTTTAAGACGCACATAATTGAAAATAAAAGTTATATTTGCTTTGGATACATTTTCCACATAAGCAATGCATCTTATAAAATATTATTTATTTTAATTTTAATAATTTATGTTTCCTTGACATCTACTAAAAGAAAACCTTTTTATATATAAATACAATATTTTTGGTTCAAAATCTGTTGCAAGATAATGCAATTTTCCTTTTTCTTCCCGCATAGCACTTGGGAACCCAACTGAAGGTTTTTCTTTCTTCTTCTCCTCTCACATGTAGTCTTCAAGTAGGGCTGTGCATCGTTAAACTACTGGTGTAATATAAAATTATCCTTCAAGTAGGACTGTGCATCGTTAAACTGCTCTTTTAATATAGAATTATCCTTCTGTAAACCTTTATCTTAATAATAACGTGGAAGATTTTTTCTTTTTTCAAATTTAATTTTAATTAAATTAATAATTCCTCCATAGTTTTTTCTTAATAAAAAAACACTGATGAAAATATCTAATTAATTTTCTAAATTCCAATCACGGGTAGCATATTCATTTCTTTATTAGGCAAAGCTTTTAAGGGTACCTTGTGAATATGGACGAGCAACTCTTAAAAACGGAACACTATCCAAAAATGAATATTGTGCCCAGTTTTAAACACTAGATATAAGAAAAATCTGGTTTTCTGATACCATCTTTCCACCACACCATCCAAAAACACATTTCTAGTCTTTTGATATATCATCCGTTAGATGAAAATCATTGGTATTTCTCTCTGCAAAAACAAACTGAGTTTTGAAATTTTAAATCATAATTTTCATTTTGATCTAAAGTTTCAAACAAAATTTTTTTTTCGAAAATCTAGATTAGAAATTAAATTTTTTTGACAAATTCTATTCTTTACTAATTTTTTTGTTGCTTTTCAGTTTTGACAGTCTTTTGACCAAAACTCGCTTATTTTTAACTGATATAAGTCATACATGAAAACATATTCTTGTTGCTAAAAATAATAAAAAAAAAATGTATTCAATGCAATCTAAAGTCTAAATATGCCATTTGATTTGAACAATTGTTGCTTGAACATTTTAATTTTTAAACTGTTGATTTTTGAAAATTTTAAACGTTTTAAATTTCAGGCTGTTGAACTTTAGAAAATTTTAACTATTAATAGTTTTTGACCCTTTCCTGATTGGGCTTTTTTTGTTTAATATGGATTTTTTTGGGGGGGGCGGGGAGGGGAGGGGGTTTTGACCCATTCCCCCTATGATTTTGCAAATAGGATTGTGATACATGGGTTCTAATGTAAGTAAATAAATATTACAAATAAAAAATGGTTGAAATGAACAAAAGAAACAGCATTAGTGGGCAAATATCTACACTAAATATAAAATAAAATATCTCTGGATAAAATTAACAAAATTAAATACTTGTGATCTAATGGGATCGTGAAATAAAGTTGAAAATTTTCTCTAAATTGAATGAAATTAATTCAAAGCAGGTTAATTTACCAAATAATTAATTTAAAAAACCAAACAAAAGTAAAAATCCAAAGTAACAGTCCAAAAATGTATTTAATGAACAATTTTTTTTGCACTATGATCTTCCAGTTTTTTCTAAACTTTAACGATACAATTAGAGATCTAAAATTAATAAGCAAACTTTTTGTAATAATTTTCTGTTTTTCATCTTAAACTAATAAATACTCTGAGAGATAGATTAAGAAAGGACTTTAAAAGGTCGTCTTCTATATTTTCAAATTCAATATTCAGGGGGGGGGGGGCAGTAGTCCTCTTACCCTCCTGGAAAATGCAAATTAAATGGAAACTACGTTTAAAAAGTAACACTTGACAATGACAATTAGACTAAGGATTTGTCTAAATTCATTGTTAATACAAAATTCTAAGATACTTTAAACTAAATTATATAAATGTCGTCTTACTTAGCAGACTTGCCGATCTTGCACTTATGGCCTGACACCCTACAAGGCTGTCTGAGAAAATCATTTAAATGTTTGTGCAATAAAATCCCAGAAAATTGTAGCTTAAAAGAGTTGGTGAATATGTAGAATGTAGATGGAGTAAATTCTATCTAAAAATTTCAGAAGAAATTTCGTTTATTAGTAAAAATATAATTTTTAATGATGCTGTGATTATTGATTTAGTGATGGAGTTGAGTAATCCCAAGTTTAAATTTAGTCTTTAATGATTTGGCAAAGAAAGAAACAGAGAATCGTGAAATATAAGGAAACAGACAGAAAAAAATCCGTAAAGTCGTCCTGAAAGTTTATTCAGTACTGTCGTCCTGAAAGTATATTCCGTACAGTCGTCCTGAAAGTATATTCCGTACAGTCGTCCTGAAAGTATAATTCCGTACAGTCGTCCTGAAAGTATATTCCGTACAGGCGTCCTGAAAGTATATTCCGTACAGGCGTAAGGAAAGTCCTTTAAAATTAAATCTTATTTCAGTACGTAACGTACATGGTGTCCCACGAAACATGACAGTTGATAAATAGTTTTGAATGTCGTCTTCCATACACTGTATTAGATATTAAAGGCTGTTTGCAGTTTATTTCGTTTAAAAAATCTTTTGCTCTAGTATATTTTACTTTGAAATTAATGTTACTATAATATGATTCCTAAACAATATTTTTATTATTGTCTTTCGTATTAAAAACTTATCAAATGATGGAAGAAGACATTCTAAACTATTTATACCAACTGTCATGTTTCGTGGGACACCCTGTATGTAACACACTTCAAACAGGCGCGTATTCAGGATTTTAGCCAGGGGGGGGGGAAAGATTTTTTTGCCCCCCCCCCTTGGAATTGTTTTGTTCAAAAAGTCAATTAACACCATAAAAATACACCAAAAAGACTACATTATTGGGTATTACTATTCTTTGTTCTCCGGTAACGGAGTCTAAACACTTTTATTATTGTGAACAAAATATTTTCATATAAAGAATTAGTGAATTTCGTTAACAATTAATTGTCATTCTTTTCAGAAGTTTTAATATATAAATACGTCTTAGGA